GTGCGCTCTACGTTTGCGGCCCTGTAGCAGATTAAAACTACCACACAAGGATGTTTATTTAGTTTGAGTCTCCCCAGCAGAATATGCCGCATCCATGTGGAACAGATTATCACCCGTAAAAAAAAAAAATCGACCCGTAAAGAAAATTGAACACCTCTTTCTCGTCGATGACGAAGTGTCTCAAGTCAACCAAAGTAGATGATCTCTATTTGCTTAGTGATACTGCTCCTTCTTACATAAGGACAGTCCACTCCCAACTAGAGAAGTCGAAGCAGAAAATTGAGCCTCGTGATCCACCTCACCCCTGTGAACCAGTGACAAAGTGGCTCAAGTCAAAACACATCTTTTCACACTCAGCCGAGCCACTAGACAACGGATTCTCTCCCTTCTTAACGTGGAACACTGGCTATCTCTCCCTAACCTATAAACCGCCCCCGGCTCAAGTGATGCCTGGCCCTTCTGGTCGTGTCTAAATTGACTTTGAACAGCTGTTGGTGGCTGTAGAGCCAACCTTCAGAAATGCCACAGATGTTGATCCCAACATAATGCGGGCAATCACAAACATCTAGTTTACCCCAATCTTGAAGTTCCACAGACACTTATTTACCTTGAAACCGTAACACCCCAGGCTAGGCTCTGTGTGCAACACTGAATGATTGTGGTGCGGCGACTCGATAAGAAGACTGAAGACTTAGCGTTATCTACATTATTTACATTCTAATTAATATCCTCATCTTTGTTGCTGTTATCGCAACGTTTCGGCCATAATACCCACATACCTTCATCAGGCACTCCTCAACCCGGGTAAACCAGGGAATTTCAAAATGAACAATTTATCTAATCTACTTTGGTAGATTGTCCTTATTCTGCTCTCAGTGTCCATATCATACCGCACTTTTTATTTTTTTTAGTATTTTTAGTATTATTTTGTATTTTCTTTTAGTATCTAGTATATTTAATATATATGGTGTGGCAAAAATACCTCCCATATTTACTTCCCAGAAACACCTCCCAAATAATGGTAAGGCGTTATTGAAAATGGTGTCTTCATCCAGATAATGTCTTACCGTTATGCGAGAAGTATTTCTAGGTGGTATACGTGGGAGGTATTTCTGCCTCATCCCGTAGTATTTTTTTTATTTGCTATTAACACAATGTTTCGGCCGTTGGGTTCTCAGGCCTTCTTCAGGTGTTTGTCGATCCGGGTAAAATTCAAGGAATTTCAAATGGAATCCTTTGTTATTTACTTTATGGGGGTAGACGGTTCTCGTTCCGCTGTCGATATCTAGGAATATCACGTCTTGTTGTCTGAGCTACCCGGCTCAGGAATTGAACTCAAGATTAATATCTCACCAAATTCACGAAATGACGGTTTAATCTAAGTCTATTTGTTCAAAATAATATTTCTTGAGAAACATTTGGAGAAATCTCTCATTTTCCAATGTTAGGGAGGTACACTGTTCATTTATAATTTTTTATTCCTCGTTCTATATTTACATTAGTCGGACTATTGTCCACTCATCTTTATCGTTTGACGTTTTGTTAGTTCCAGTGGTTGGAAAATGAACCCTTTATTTCGATCGCTGGGGAGTCGATACACCGTTATCAGTTATTTTATAATTAACTTTATTTGGGTCTGTCACTGGATCTAACCAACCTTGATATTATTTTATGACTGTTGTTGTTTTCAGCATCATTTTGGCTCAGTGGCTTTCAGAGAAAATTAGCAGGAATGTGATAGCGGCAATACACTGGAATGAAACAGTCTACCCCAGCGATCATTATTATTCTTATTTTATAACCGACTAATGTAAATACGGGATACCTCAGAAATTGTCTTTGTTTTTGTTTTTTTATTGTTGTCTGGCATTCTTCGGCAATACACTTCTTCATTATTATTCTTATTTTATAACTTGTTTTACGGGATCTCAGTTGTGTTGTTTTTTGTTTTTTTAGCCCACTAAGTCCAATACAATCTTTTATGGTATTTTGCTTCCAGGTTTTGACAATTTATTTTTCTATTATCCTAGCAACCTGAGTCAATACAGTCTTCATTATTACTTTATTACTAGTTTTACACCATCTTATTATTCATGCTTTTCATCAAAATACTCTGAGTCAACACAGTCTTTATAATTATTATTATTAATAGTAGTAGTAGCAGTTATTGTTTTTGTGGCTTTTTTAAAAATTTTACTCTATCTTATAGTTTTTATATCACAAATCTCTGGCTGAATACGTTCATCATCATCATCATCATCATTGTTATTATTGCTAGTTTTACTCCATCTTGTTAGTTGCTTTTTCTCCTGGCATTCTGGGTAAATACATTATACACCCTAAGTCACTATTACTATAAATATTATTGCTAATTCTGCTCCATAGTATGATTGTTGATTTTTATTATAACAGATGGAGTGTATGTACTCCAGTAAAACAAAGCAACCCTCCCAACCTCAGATAATCGTCTATAAAAGCGAATAGACGTCAACGGAGCTGAGATAGAAATATAATTGTATTCCATGATCTTCTCTTCCCGTAATAAATGTTTTTTTTTTTCTTATTTATTCCAGGAATTCTTTTATGCACTGTTGAATGAGAAGCGTGCATTGGAAACATGCAAAAAATTCTGCTTATGACGGCTTAAGACGATCCATTCATGTGGCTTGCATTAAAATGTAAAGAAATAGGCAGAAGTCTTCGTTGTTCAATCGAAACGATTCCTTAATTACTGAGTCCAATTAAGAAAATCATTCGGACGATAGGAAAGAAAAACAACTGATGTCTTAGTTACAGTGCAGAATGCCACGCAACAAGGTTGTCCATATAACACACGCACACACACACACACATACATACGTACACACACATACGTATGCATACATACACACATACGTATGTACAAAAATTCATATATATATATATATTTGTAAAATAATATAAATAAAAGAGGAGGACTCTTTATGTCAAAGAACGAAACACGTTGGCAAAAAAGATTTCATCATGTCTTTTCTTATATATATATATATGGTAGTATATATATATATATATATATATAAGGCTCAAACACTAATATTACATGGTTATAATTTATTACATTGGAATCGTAATGACGATCCAATTCATCAGACCTACAAATTGGTAATTTGTAGGTCTGATGAATATTTGTAGATAGAACATTATTCAATCTTTATATTCTTACCTGTCCTGACATTGAGATTCACCTGGATTCTATCCTGTTGTTTTGACACATATATATACACACATTCTATACATACACACAGATACACATGGACATATATTTATATATATATATATATCTATCCTCTTGGAAATTTATATATATATATATATATATATATATATATATATATATATATATATATATATATATATATATATATATATATGCACACAGGTGTCTGTGTGTGTACAAATGTGTATTGAAATGGGACAAAAAGTGGTAAAATATCGATGAAAGCTACAATGCGAGGAAGTGTGGAGAGCCAATTTTTCACGTGTACAAATAGGACAGGACACATAAAAGATTATTGGTGCTAAACCGACTTGTCAAAAACCTATTTGCTACAGTGCGGAATGGCAGATAATAGGACTGCGCATACACCGGGTGTAACAGCAAAATCGTACATTTGTTAGGTTAAGCGTTGAGACATTCAATCTTAGAAATGATTAAAGATATCTTACTGGAATTCTTCGAGTTATTTATAACACTAATGGCTTTTACTTTCAACAACAGGAATGTATAATTACTCTCCAAGCCTAACAGAAGATTTGTTATTAAATTGATCATAAACGAAAATGACATGTTCATTAATTAATCATAGCTAAAGATCGGAAGCTCATGTAGGATTGAAATAAAGTTCAAAATATATATATATATATATATATATATATATATATATATATATATTATTCCAGGATCATTTTCCAACTTATTCATGATGATTTTCGCCCTCTCTAACCTTCTCACTTTCTGTCCTGGAGTTAAAGGGTGCCTAACAGATTTCACGTACGATTTCATTTTCAAGCCTTTTTCGCCGCTATTTCTCCTCTTATAGCTAAGCGTGACAAAAAAGAAAATTTTATAAGATTAAATGAGTAGGTGGTAGCAGATATATAAAAATAATTTTTAGCAAGATTTCCCTAGAAAAGGAACGAACAAAAACATAATTTAATTCATTTGTGAAGACATTCCTGTGTTTAGTGTTACTAAAATCTAACAATTGTTCGATTTTTGCAAGAATTTTCAAATCAATGTATTTTTCACGCGGGGAGAAAAAAAATTACGGTCCCATGTTGATTCAAGATAACCAATAATTTTAACGAAAATTTCGAAAGTCCTAAAGATATTAAAATATATAATTTTTCCATCAACAAATCATTTAGATTTTGATTATTTTCATCATGTACGTTTAAGTTTTTTTTTTTTTTTTCAACGAGTCTTTGAAAATAGAACGATTGTTTTTCAATGGCCTATCATCATTTGCGGGTTATTTAAAGCCAGAAAATATTTTACACGGTAATAATTTTTTTGGGAGAAAATAATGGTTTTGTGATGTACTTATTACTAATTGACCCATAGCTGGGGCTCGAAGAGGTGGATTCATATCTTTCCCAAGGGTATTTACGCATAAGTGAATATAACGAACCCAACAGGAATTAGAACTCGGCTTTCGGATTAATAAGTCCGTGCCATCATCCATTAAATCATCCGCATATCCAAGCATACAACAGGGATTAACAGGGATTAACAAGTAGTCACCCATCGAGATATTGACTAGGCTCGACATTGTTTAACTTCAGAATATATATATATATATATATATATATATATATATATATATATATATATATATATATAGGTGCGGAAAAAAGCTCTCTAATATACTTTGAGAAATACCGCCTTATAATGTTAAGACATTAGTGACAATACTCTCTTCATCTAGTTGCTAATATCATACCATTATATGGGAAGTTAT